TTTATCATTTGAAAGCATAATTTATTCCTATCACTGCCGAAGATAATATCTGCAAAGACAATGATTGTTTCACTGTAGATTTTTCTACAAACACAAATAATTAACAGCACATACAAAAGACCGACTTAATTATAGTTCATTTTCCCATGGTCCTTCTTGGGACACGTGGACATATAAATTATATGTGCTAACGATGATTAAAACAAACGTCTGAAGTCATGTTTGAGCAACAAGGCTGGGTATAAAAGTAGCATCGACCAGAAGAGGGTCTTTGACTCCGATGGTCCCCGACAAGTTCGGAATAGTTTTCTTGCGAGACAGTGTTGTTGAGCAGAAGGTGGCAACGAATAACGTTAGAATAAAATAGTAGGGATTAAGGGAACGGGGGGGGGAATTGGTGGTCGTAGAAATAGTCCGGAGTGAATTGTCCTTGGGTGATGTGCAGTAGCAACGTAACGTTAAGGCTAATGACGAAATGGTCGTAGCGTAGCAGTCAGCCGCTCTTATCGAGCAAACGAGAATTGGTCAAGATATGCCGAGTTCCCTTCTGAGACACCACGATGGAGTACTTATACGGGGGCAGTGGTGGGTTGCCGGGGTAAGAGAGCGGGATTAAGTTCGGAAGGTTTCAGGTTTGAAACCTGGGTGCACTAAGCTTGGCACCTTCCCGACACACTGCTCCCCGGGCGCTGATGTTTAGTCACATTTGGTTGTGTGCAGTGGTATATCACGTCACAATGACAAGTAGTTCACTTTACTAATACAAAGAATTTTGGATGCGTTTCCATAACCAACAATAACAAGGCAACTAAGACGGACATTTCGTTACAAGCTGGTTCTACGAATATAAATATAAAAACGAACCGAGACAAACAAGTGAACCCTACTGCTACGGAACGCGGTCACTGCAACCGTTGCTGTAGTTGCTGTGACTACAGCATCTGCCAGTTCACCACGACCGCCCTGGTCTAACTTTCTATTTTCTGCTGGTGCCCTGCCTGTTAAAATGTCATAAATGTGACACCGGACTCTCAGGGTAACTCGTGTTTTTCTGGGACAAACAAGATAAAATGTTCATGACCTGGCAGTGGACAGTGGCTTTGGTTTTCGCCTTGGGGTTTCATTATATTTGTTTTTTAGCTGGAATGTCCTACTGCGTGATGTGAATATTTGCTGTCAAAAATCACCCCATTAGTTAAAAGTCTCGCCTATTGACTTGGGTCGCGAAGGTTTGTGACTTTTAAAATATGGGTCCCCAGAAAAAAAAGTTTGGGGAAACACTGGTCTAATGTGATGACAGCGTCAGCGAGAAGACGTTTTATTAAACGCAGAAGAATTTGTTTCATTTTGGCCTGAATGAGCCTATTCTTAATGAGAAGTAAATGCCATCACCCCCCCCTCCCTCACCCCCCCCCCCCCCTTAAAGCCACAATACGGCTTTAATTGCATATCGATTTAAATCCAACCTAAAGAAGAACTGGTGACGGCCCAAAAAATTAAAAAAATACATGTCATTTGGTTTTGTAAACAAAAGGTATCGAGACCGAAATACGGGTTTTCCAAGTTACGAGTAAGCAAGATTTTCTTCAAGATACGAGGAAACATCGAGTTACGAGTGCTCAACCGAGCTCTTTTATATTATCAATACATTTGTTTATATCTATGTTTTTGATGTGGAGATGGGGGAATTTTAATTTATTTAATTGATAGTATATTTATGGGGGGCTGGAACTAAATAATTCGTTTTTAGTTATTTTTAATGGAGAAAATGCAATTGAAAGTAATCGACAAACATCGACAAGTGCTGTTGTGGAATGGATTAAACTGAATCGACAAACGAGTGTCGATGTGGAATGGATTAAACTCATATCTTGAACCCCACTGTTCAGCTCTTTTATTGCTTGGAGAGAGCTGGAGTGGAGATCTGGTAGAAATCCAGCCTGCTTTGCAGGAGGTCAAGGGTTCAACTCCACCTAGTCCCTAACCAGACTGGGTTGCTTCAGGACCAGATTTCTGTGTAAACCAATGCCAAAATATTGCAGGCACGTATGCTGTGGCAAAACCGCGATGAATGGAAAAAGCCAAAAAGTAAATAGGATCAACTGTTAACGCCGCCTTAAGTTCCAACCTATAATTACACAGCTTATTTGTCCTGCCCGTTACCAGAACAATATGACGATTTGAATAATACAAATACCTAATAAAGACTAATTACCTCGTGTGGCAAAACAAATTTCTCAGCGACACGTTGCTCCTTGAGGCTTTTCTCATTCTGACAGCTGTTATGATTCGGGTCAGTGGTTTTCCTCATGCCACACAACGCCGCTTGCCTATTAATGCGTTCGGAGACTTAGGGAGGAGCACAATCGAAAGGAGGAAACCCCGAGAC